AGCATGCAGAGCTGGGAGATCCTTTGAAAATTAAGGACGAGGCACAGGACAAAGTAGCAAGTTTTTGCCCTACAAGCAGAGGCTGGGATGACTTCAGGGAAAAGCAATAATCAGTTCCTGTAATCAGGCAAGCCTCAGACATGACGAAGGGGAGGCTACTTCAAGAAACCTAGATGAAAGTGCCTACGAGTCTGAAAGCTACTAGAATTGTAGGGCTGCTGGGTGAGACCAAGAGGAAGGGCCTGCCGATCCTTAGGACAAAGTGGGCAGAAATACATGTTTTTCAAACCTTTTTGTAGATAGCTGGTCTTCAGAATGTAGTTCTCATAATCACTTTGTTCTCTTCTAATTAAAAACATAGTTTTAATTACTGATAACCTTTAGTATCTTCTGGTGTGCTCATTCTGAAGATGTGAAACATTTGCAGTTGAGGGCTTTGGTCAGTCTTGATGTTCATTCCCTCATATGAAGACCTTGCTGAATGTAGAGTGGGCAGTCAAGCTTCCCTGCTGTGCCAGCAGCTCTGTGTCCTGGTCATCTCATCTATAGCTGTTTATTTTGCTGTATATGGATAGTTTCAAAATAAAGGCAGAGAGGGAGTCCTTGTGTTGGGTGTTCAGCTATTGCTGGACTAGTGAATTAAAGACAAAGTGCCCTATCAGTTTTCCTACATTGAAGCTTAGTCAGGTCTCCCGTGTTGTCTTTGTATCTGTAATGCGTTACTGGGGTTTTTTTTAAAAATACTTTCTTGTCCTCATCGGTTATATTGAGGGCAGATGCACCACTTGTCAAATGGTGTTTGGATGCTGTTGTGACTTTTGCTGCTTCTGCTTTCTGGAACGCCTGTCTCGTCTCAGCTACAAGTTACTGTCTCTTCTTTACTAGAAATGAACATGAAGGAATCCCAGCAAATCTGATTCACCATCTGGATGTCTGTGTGGAAATTCCTCAGCAGGGTATTATTCGATCACTCAATGTTCATGTAAGTGGAGCTCTGCTGATTTGGGAGTACACAAGGCAACAAGTGATCAAGCAAAAACAACAAAAATAACTGCCAAGCGGTTTGTGCCTTACAGTACAGCTGGGTGACCTCCTGTGGTGCTACAACATAAAATTAGGAATAGATGAGATACAAACTCAGGGTGAATGAGGACTCTTAAGTTTTGCATGTTTTGTTCTCTGTAGTGTTCAGACTGACTTTTAAATGCCTTAATACTTTACCTCCTTAAATAAAACTGTTGCATTGGAAATAAATATTATTTATATTGCATGTGGTGTGTGATTATTTTTTTTTTCTACTATTGGAACATCAGCATAGTACTGTGAACAATCCCAAACTCAAAACATAAGATTTTTACTGCAGTTACTTCAGTTGTGACAACCATGCTTGAAGCTGAAGTGGTGCCTTCTTATAAGCACAATCAAAACTTACTGTAGCCAAAGTATTTAATGCCTTCACTATCTGCATTTACTAGATTATATCACTTTTGCAAGGTAAATTCTCTTACATTATTACATTAAACGCTGCCCCTTGTTTAAATGCCTCCCACAGTCAAGTTTACTAATCCTGCTGTTAACAGTCTGTATCTTTAAATGGACTTGCATCAGTAAGGTAATCAAAACCACTCAATTATACAAAAGGCATAATGTGAGAATTGTGAGAATTGCCATACTTCTACCAGAGATACTGACTCAAAACGTGACTGTTACCAATAATGTAAAAATTTGTATTGCTTATAAAAAAAAAGCATCCTCAAAATGTGCAAATTACATACATGCACAGGATGCATTAGGTCTTCTAATAAACTGCTGTCTGACTTCAGCGTTTAACAACACATACAAATTATATTATTACCTCCTTTTGATGAGTGGCAGTTGGAATAGCCTTTTTTTTTTAAGGAAAAGCCAGTTCACTTACTGAAAAACAATTTTATTGTTCTCTTTAGAATATGTACATTACACTATTAAATAATAATTTATTCCTTGTGAAACAATTTGATTAATTACACATTCAAAACCTTAGATTTGTGAACAGCCCTGCACCATATTTCTTTGACTTATACTCATGAAAAAGCAGTCCATGACCATCTTTTTTCAGCAGACACATGAGAGACCTTGCAACACAAACAGCAGCCTGCATTGCAGGGAGATGGTCGGGTTACTGGTTCTTGAGCTCAAGCAGCTCCTGTTGCTCTCTCATGCTTCTTCCTTCCGTAGTTATTCTCACTAGATTTATTTTGAAAGCAGAGTACCTAAGACTTTCCAGCAGCTTCTGGAGGATGATACCCTTCTGTTTCAAGCTTTTCTTTGTATTTTAAAAAGTCTCTTCTTCTGTCAAAATATTTAACCTGTTTAAAAAGAGAAAAGATTCATCAAAAGAAACTAGCAGAGGAAGGGGCTTTGTGCATCACAAGACTAAGGTATAAACAGTCTTTGATCACTGAACTTAAGGAGGATTTTAACTCAATACACTAGTTAGGAGATTCTTGCTCTGTTGAAGTAGAAGACTGAAGAGTGGAGTGTGTTTGGTGTTTTGTGGGTTTTTTTACCATTTTGAAAGTGAACTTTGGTTTCCTGTCATAACCACCCTGTTACTTCCATGAACATCTAATAAAAGCTTTGCTATTTTCACTGCTATGAACAAAGACTATTTGTAACACAAAGTCCAGAAGCTTTTCCATGGTATCACAGACTATGTAACCTCTGAATTCATTGCCTAGAGCCACTGATGCGCGTGGTGCAAAGCACCGCAGATGAAACCATCACCACCAGAGATGAAATACAACAGAACTGCAGCGTTCAAAGTGTAAGCCAGCAGAGCAATTGCAGAGGTACTTGGTTTTTTTAACCGACTTCAGTCTATTCGATCCCACAGGAACTGTTCAGCCCCTCGATGCTGCTGTTACTAAAGGGCAATGCCTGTTAAAAACATTTAAGAATTACAGCTTGAGCTTAGGAAACAAAAAAGGACAACGTGACTTAACTGTAAGCAGATGGTTTACTGTGACGTTAAACTGCATGAAGGGTATTTTTATGCACAAGAAAGTATCAGATGCCAGTCAAGATAGCATGTAGCTAACTGCCAGCCCCGCGTGTCACCTCCCTTCTGTATTAGCCTTTCTGCTTTAGTAACTATTTTCTGTGCACTTCTAAAAGCTTCCAAGTATCTTTCAGAAATTTTTTTTTTCAAATTGAACAATAAGCCTGCATGCTTGTATAGCTGCGTATTTATCTGAAAGTCTGAGATGGTATTTTCTTTTCCCTTTAGACTGTATGTTTCACACTACTACCCACAGTTCCCGCGCCAGCCAGTGGTCTGCTCAGGAGCGGCAGCTCCCCAGCAAGCCCAAAGGCGCGCAAACCAAGGCACGTTGGACAAGGGTATCAACGGGAAAGCGTAACACCCCGCTCGTTCTGCAGTCCCAAGAAGCGGGAGCTGCCACCCTTAACGAGGTGAACGTAACGACCCGTC